ATTTTTTGGCCCCAAGTAACGGGGTTTTGTGGGCCCCCAGTAACCCAAATTTTTGTGTCCCTCCCGTTTTAAAAATTCTGTGTCTTTTCCCTGGAAATAACAATTTTGTGGCCCTAAATAACCCGGTTTTGTGGCCCCCAGTAAAAAATTTTTGTGTCCCTGAGTTAAAAGTTTTTGTGGCCCCAAAAGTAAACAATTTTTTTTGGCCCTCAGTAAAACCTTTCTGTGTCTGTTTTTCCCCGTAAAAAATTCCTTTTGGTCCAAAAATTTAAGGTTCTGTGGCCCTCAGTAAAAAATTTTTGTGGGCCCCCGATTTTAAAGTTTCTTTGTGGCCCAAAATAACAATTCTGTGGGGCCCCCAGTAACAATTCTGTTTTCTGTCCCTGGTAACAAGTCTGTGGACCTATTGTTTCATTCTGTTGGCCTCAGTAACATTTCTGTGGTGTCTGTTCCTGAAGTAACGTTTCTGTAGCCCTAAGTAACAGGTTCTGTGGCCCTAAGTAACAATTCAGTTCTGTCCCTCAGTAACATTGTTCTGAGTACCGTTCTGTCCCTCGAGTAACAATTCTGTGTCTAAGTACAGTTTCTGTGGCCCTCAGTAACAATTCTGTGTCCCTCAGTAACAATTCTGTGTCCCTCAGTAACAATTTCTGTGCCCTAATAACTTGTCCGTGGCCCTCAGTAACAATTCTGTGTCCCTGAGTAACGTTTTCTGTGGCCCTAAGGTACCGTTTCTGTGGCCTAGAAGTAACATTTCTGTGGCCCTCCCTCCAGTAACAATTTCTGTCTTGTCCCTGAGTAACAATTCTGTTGCTGTCCCTGAGTAACAATTGCCTGTGTCCCCTCAGTAACAATTCTGTGGTCCCTCAGTAAAAATTTCTGTGTCCCCTCAGTAAACAATTCTGTGTCCCTCAGTAACCAATTCTGTGCACGCGCTGTAACAATTCTGTGTCGCCTGAGTAACAATTCTGTGTCCCATCATAACAATTCTATGTCCCTCAGTAACAATTCTGTGTCCCTGAGTAACAATTCTGTGTCCCAACAGTAACAATTCTGTCCCTGAGTAACAATTCTGTGTCCCTAAGTCCCTGAGTAACGGTTTCTGTGGCCCTAAGTAACGGTTCTGTGGCCCTCAGTAACAATTCTGTGTCCCCCTGAGTAACAATTCTGTGTCTGTCCCCTGAGTAACATTCTGTGGCCCTAAGTAACGGTTCTGTGGCCCTCAGTAACAATTCTGTGTCCCTGAGTAATGTTTCTGTGGCCCTAAGTAACAATTTCTGTGGCCCTCAGTAACAATTCTGTGTCTGTCCCTGAGTAACAATTCTGTGGCCCTAAGTAACGGTTCTGTGGCCCTCAGTAACAATTCTGTGTCCCTGAGTAACGTTTGGAGTTGTGGCCCTAAGTAACAGTTCTGTGGCCCTAAGTAACAGTTCTGTGGTCCCTCAGTAACAATTCTGTGTCCCTCAGTAACAATTCTGTGTCCCTCAGTAACAATTCTGTGTCCCTCAGTAACAATTCTGTGTCTGTCCCTGAGTAACAATTCTGTGTGTCCCTGAGTAACAATTCTGTGTCCCTAAGTAAAACGTTTCTGTGCCCTGAAAGTAACATTTTCTGTGGCCCTCAGTAACAATTCTGTCTGTCCCTGAGTAACAATTCTGTGTCTGTCCCCTGAGTAACAATTCTGTGTCTGTCCTCAGTAACAATTCTGTGTCCCTCAGTAAAAATTCTGTGTCCCTCAGTAACAATTCTGTGTCCCTCAGTAACAATTCTGTGTCCTGAGTAACAATTCTGTGTCCCTCAATAACAATTCTGTGTTCCCTGAGTAACAATTCTGTGTCTGTCCCTGAGTAAGAATGTCTGTGTCTGTCCCTGAGTAACGTTTCTGTGGCCCTAAGTAACGGTTCTGTGGCCCTCAGTAACAATTCGGGCCCTGAGTAACAATTCTGTGTCTGTCCCTGAGTAACAATTCTGTGGCCCTAAGTAACGGTTCTGTCCAATTCTGTGAGTAACAATTCTGTGGCCCTAAGTAACGGTTCTGTTGCCCCGCAGTAACAATTCTGTGTCCCTGAGTAACAATTCTGTGTCTGTCCCTGAGTAACAATTCTGTGGCCCTAAGTAATGGTTCTGTGGCCCTCAGTAACAATCCCTGTGTCCCTGAGTAATAACGTTTCTGTGGCCCTAAGTAACTGTTCTGTGGCCCTCAGTAACAATTCTGTGTCCCTGAATAACAATTCTGTGTCTGTCCCTGAGTAACAATTCTGTGGCCCTAAGTAACGGTTCTGTGGCCCTCAGTAACATTCTGCTGTGTACCTCAGTAACAATTCTGTTCTGTGTCTGTCCCTGAGTAACAATTCTGTGGCCCCTAAGTAAACGGTTCTGTGGCCCTCAGTAACAATTCTCTGTGTCCCTGAGTAACAATTCTGTGGCCCTAAGTAACAGTTCTGTGGCCCTCAGTAACAATTCTGTGTCCCCTCAAGTAACAATTCTGTGTCTGTCCCCTGAGTAACAATTCTGTTAGGCCCTAATGTAACGTTCTGTGGCCCTACGTAAACAGTTCTGTGGCCCTCAGTAACAATTCTGTGTCCCTGAGTAACGTAATTTCTGTGGCCCTAAACTAAACAATTCTGTGGCCCCCGATAACAATTCTGTGTCCTGTCCCCTGGAGTAACAGTTCTGTGGCCCTAAGTAACGGTTCTGTGCCCTCAGTAACAATTCTGTGTCCTGAGTAACAATTCTGTGTGGCCCTAGTAACAGTTCTGTGGCCCTCAGTAACAATTCTGTGGCCCTGAGTAAACGTTTCTGTGCCTGCTCACCCCTAAGTAACCAATTCTGTGGCCCTCCAGTAACAATTCTGTCTGTCCCTGAGTAACAAATTCTGTGGCCCTAACTACTTTCTGTGGCCCTAAGTAACGATTCTGTGGCATTCCCCCCTCTAATAACAATTCTGTGTCCTGAGTAATGTTTCTCTGTCCCTAAGTAACGTTTCTCTGTCCCTAAGTAACGTTTCTCTGTCCCCAAGTAACGTTTCTGTGGCCCTAACTCTGTCCCTAATACAGAGCGGTCTGCCTCTCTTGAATGACTGGAGGCAAATGAAGAATTCTAAAAATGGCCGCCATTTATAGCTCGACCATTACACAGTGCTGGCTGGCTGGCTGCTGATTGGCTAATGCGATCACATGTCATTAAGGAATGCATTATGGGTCAGCGCGCCTTTGTCTGCGCGCCTTCCCAGACATCCCCGCTCCGTCGCCGCACATGTCCGCCGCCAATTTTAGGAAAAATTTCGATTCGCGCGTCCGAAGTAGGCTATTTTTCGGACTTTCCATATTTTCCAATATTCGAAACGAATTCCACTTCGCCTACTTCGCCTACTTCGATTCGCTCATCTCTAATTATAGTCATCAGTGAGCACAGCAGTAGATTCACTACAGCAGTGATCGGATGCTGTATAAAGGACTGGGCATGAGCTATGACAGATCTGCCTGACACTCTGTAGTGAATGAGTGTGTGGGTGATGTCACTCATGATGTCATCACACACACCCATAGCAAATATATTATGAAAGTGCAGTTTTTACTTTTGCTTTCACAAAGAGCTTCTTTGGAGCACTGTGTGAAAGCATCAGAAGCCCAGGAGCTGATCATTTCAGCTCCTGGGCATAGCACTGGATGCTGGCTGTGGCAGGCAGCTGATGGTTCCAACTTACACCCCCTGCTATCCCAGTGCTGTTTTAAAGTGGTGCTGGGGACTTATGTGTTGGGTTAACAGAGATTCCACTAAATGTCATAACTATTTACCAAAATAATTCTCTACATGTGGCCTGGTGAGACCCCCACGAATTTGTGCAAGCAAATGGATTCACCAATTAGAGTAAATCATAGGTAATCCCTGGGCTAGCCACCACCTGAACGTGAATCTATTTTCCATACCCAGAAAAAAAAAACCCCAGAGGACAATATAAGGCCTAACACACATTTACAAATGTGTTTAGACTCATTAAGGAGCATCATGCATTTGGGCAATTATTCATTTAATTGGCCAGAATTAATTTATTCTGGCCATTGAAAAAAATAAACACTAAGCGCTAAACATGATCCTAGCGTTTATGTGCATTACAGACATTTAGGCATGCCATGTGCTTTCTCTGACCAAAAGTTCCTGTCCTGAATTCAATTTTGGTGCGTTCAGATTTCTGCTCCAAAGCGTTCCTGCCTCAAAACTGATCTAAAAATCTTAAGTGCTTAGGAGCAGGAAAAAAAACATCTAACCTATAAAATGGGTGTTTTACAGCTGCAATGTGAGGTCTTAAAGGTGAAGTAAAGGCAATATCAACTTTGCAGAGTATTTTATAAAGTCACAAACAGACAATGTATAGGCCAAAATTGAGTTAAGGGTTTAGGGCATAAAGAGGGTGGGATCCCGATGAGGAATGATACAGAAACCAGCTGTATATCTATTGTCTCCAAAGAAGTCCATAAAGGTACGTCCAACATGGAGTGCAACTGAACTAGGGGGTTGTCTGGAGTTTCTGTTTCCTTTATGTTACAGTTTAATTTCTTTAACCACTAGCCTACAGGGCACTTATACCCCCTTCCTGCCCAGGCCAATTTCCAGCTTTCAGCGCTCTCACACTTTGAATGACAATTGCGCGGTCATGCAACACTGTACCCATATGAAATTTTTATCATTTTTTTGAGACAGATAGAGCTTTCTTTTGGTGGTATTTAATCACCTCTGGGATTTTTATTTTTTCTTAAACAAACCAAAAACTTTGTGATGGGCACTGACAGGCTGCACTGATGGACACTGATAGGTGGCACTGATGGGCACTGATGAGGAGGCACTGGTAGGTTGCACTGATAGGCATTGACAGGCATCACTGATGGGCACTGAAAGGCAGCACTGATACATGACACTGATAGGCGGCACTGATAAGCGGCACTGATAGGCGGCACTGACTGGCACTGATAGACGGCACTGACTGGCACTGTTAGGCGGCACTGATTGGCACTTTTAGGCGGCACTGACTGGCACTGATAGGCGGCACTGACTGGCACTGATGCGCACTGATAGGCGACACTGACTGGCACTGATAGGTGGCACTTATTGGCAGCACTGATAGGTGGCACTGTTGGCATTGATAGGTGGCACTGACTGGCACTGATGGGTGACATTGAAAGGCAGCTCAGATGGGCACTGATATGTGGCATTGATGTGCACTGGTATGCACTAATATGTGGCATTGATGTGGCACTGATGGGCACTGGCACGTGGCACTGATGGGCACTGGCATGTGGCACTGATGAGCACTGACAGGTGGCACTTCTGGGGCCACACTGATCATCAGGGCACACTGATCAGTGCCCTGATTATAATCAGTGTACATGTCTCCTCCGCGGAAAGCCGATTACCGGCTCTCCTCTCCTTTCGAGCTGTCAGCGTGACAGCTCGAGAGGAGAAAAATGCCGATAACCGGCATTTCCATGTTTACATGTGATCAGCTGTGATTGGACACAGCTGATCACATGACTGAGCCGACATCTTTGGCTTTTCCCATGATCCGCTGTGTCCGAGGGACACAGCACACTGGCGATCGTCGCGCTGCGCGCTCCCTGAGCCGCACATGCGCAGTGAGTCTGGTAGGACGTCATATGACGTCCTATCAGAACGAGAGAACCACCTTGCGCCCGTCATTTTACTATAAGGCGGGCGGAAGGTGGTAAAATGTCTCCACTTCCTTTTCATACATACAGAATACAGTTATACTGAGTCATGCGGCATAATATGGTAATCTACAGTAGTGCCAAATGTATGTTGCATGTGAATATTTGAGCTATCAAAAATATGTGATATATAACAAAACCTTTTTCAACAATGACAAGAAAACAAAAACATTCTTGCCTCATTCATTGGAGCAGGTAGCACCTGCCTACCTCCGTTCATTCTATAGGAAATTATTTGAGTCATGTGACATCTCTTTTTTCTAGATGCTTAGAAATTATAAAAATGTAATACATCTCATGTGTTTTTAATTTAATACTAAAAATTAATAAACAAAATTAGTGTAAAAAAAAAAAACAATGTAAATGTTAATGGTTAGAAAAATAGAAATACCAAAAAAAGTCAGGAAAATAGTTAAGGGGAGAAGGTGAAGAATGAGTTAAATATGGCTGATTAGGGAGGCTAAGGGTTAATAAGGGTTTTAATAGGAACACATTCTATTAAAAGAAACAAAACTTTTTTTATAATTGTCAGGTTGCTTCATGTGACATCATATGCAGATCGGGGCTCATCAGTATGATCTGCAGATGAATATAACTGAGCAGATACAAAAGTAACAATGTTACTTTGTATCCTTCTATCCCGTATCTGAAAAGTTTTATAAACACTGTGGCTGATGATCCATTTTTGACAGCAACAGCTTTAACAGTTCTTATATTTACTCAGTCACTCCCAACTGTAAAAAGGACAAGTGATGAGGAGTGAGTGGCAGCGGCACAGGGTGCATGTACTTCAATTATGGTTTTTTGGGGCATGTGTAGCACCAGAAAGGGTTATTTTGGTGGTAATCACACAATCTAATGTGTCCACAGATGTAGGAGAGTGTAGGCGGAACATTGCTGCCAGCTTTTGGAGAGTATAGTACTATCAAAACATTGTTGTGTGAGCTGATTCCCACTGCGTTAAACAGCTGGATGCTTTTATCAACTAATAAATTACATCCTTCCAATTTAGGTGTAAGAAAGGTTTAAGCATATTATTTTTCCATACTTGTAAAGTTGGTGAATTGCTCAAAGTTAAAGCAGAACTTTACCTATAACAATTTGATGAAAAATAATATTCTTTCGCAAGGACCACGTTAATCATTCTTCCAAAATTAGTGTGTACTTTAAATTGCCTCCAGCCTTGTTGTTAGAGAAGAAAAATCAGACATGCGCACACACACACTCACTGAACTGCATGGACCTGTGGGGGTTTTTTTTTCAATCTTTTAAACTATGTACCTATGTAATGTCAGGAGTATGAACATTTTGGTCACCTTCCCACCCATGTAGGTTACTGTACAGAGACTTGCTTGAGTAATATGAATTAGGTGGCATTGAAAGACTAGAACTGTAAGTAATCAATTCTGTTTTTGCTTTTTTTTTCTTACTTTAGGCACCTCCAGATGTCATATTTATCCTCCATTTTTATTTGATTGGAAAGGGTGCATGTGCATTTCCTTAATTTGTTGAAAGTGTCCAATATCTATTATATCATTAAAGTCTCCACAAAGACATTTGTGTCCCCTTTGTTTCTATTTTATGGACTGGATTAGATGAAAATAATTTTTGTTTTTTATTTAAAGTGTATATTTATGTATGTGTGTGTATGTATGTATGTATGTATTTATGTACAGTGGGGCAAAAAAGTATTTAGTCAGCCACCAATTGTGCAAGTTCTCCAACTTCAAAAGATGAGAGAGGCCTGTAATTGGCATCATAGGTAGACCTCAACTATGAGAGACAAAATGAGAAAAAAAATCCAGACAATCACATTGACTGATTTGGAAATAATATTTTGCAAATTATGGTGGAAAATAAGTATTTGGTCACCTACAAACAAGCAAGATGCCTGGCTCTCACAGACCTGTACCTTCTTCTTTAAGAGGCTCCTCTGTCCTGCACTCATTACCTGTATCAATGGCACCTGTTTGAACTTGTTATCAGTATAAAAGACACCTGTCCACAACCTCAAACAGTCACACTCCAAACTCCACTATTGTGAAGACCACAGAGCTGTCACAGGACACCAGAAACAAAATTGGAGACCTGCACCAGGCTGGGAAGACTGAATCTGCAATAGGCAAGCAGCTTGGTGTGAACAAATCAACTGTGGGAGCAATAATTAGAAAATGGAAGACATACAAGACCACTGATAATCTCCCTCGATCTGGGGCTCCACGCAAGATCTCACCCCGTGGGGTCAAAATGATCACAAGAACGGTGAGCAAAAATCCCAGGACCACACGGGGGGGACCTAGTGAATGACCTGCAGAGAGCTGGGACCAACGTAACAAAGGCTACCATCAGTAACACACTAGGCCGCCAGGGACTCAGATCCTGCAGTGCCAGACATGTCCCCCTGCTTAAGCCAGTACATGTCCGGGCCCGTCTGAAGTTTGCTAGAGAGCATTTGGATGATCCAGAAGAGGATTGGGAGAATGTCATATGGTCAGATGAAACCAAAATAGAACTGTTTGGTAGAAACACAACTCGTCGTGTTTGGAGGAGAGAGAATGCTGAGTTGCATCCAAAGAACACCATACCTACTGTGAAGCATGGGGGTGGCAACATCATGCTTTGAGGCTGTTTCTCCGCAAAGGGACCAGGACAACTGATCCATGTACAGGACAGAATGAATGGGGCCATGTATCGTGAGATTTTGAGTGCAAACCTCCTTCCATCAGCAAGGGTATTGAAGATGAAACGTGGCTGGGTCTTGCAACATGACAATGATCCCAAACATACCACCCGGGCAACGAAGGAGTGGCTTCGTATGAAGCATTTCAAGGTCCTGGAGTGGCCTAGCCAGTCTCCAGATCTCAACCCCATAGAAAACCATTGGAGGGAGTTGAAAGTCCGTGTTGCCCAGCGACAGCCCCAAAACATCACTACTCGAGGAGATCTGCATGGAGGAATGGGCCAACATACCAGCAACAGTGTGTGCCAACCTTGTGAAGACTTACAGGAAACGTTTGACCTCTGTCATTGCCAACAAAGGATATATAACAAAGTATTGAGATGAACTTTTGATATTGACCAAATACTTATTTTCCACCATAATTTGCAAATAAATTCTTTCCAAATCAGCCAATGTGATTGTTTGGATTTTTTTTTCTCATTTTGTCTCTCATAGTTGAGGTCTACCTATGATGCCAATTACAGGCCTCTCTCATCCTTTTAAGTGGGAGAACTTGCACAATTGGTGGCTGACTAAATACTTTTTTGCTCCACTATATGTATGTATATATATATATATATATATATAACTCTTATAGTTGGTAATAATCACTTTTGGGACAGACTGTAGTTGAAAGGCTACTATATATTTTATGTCTATTATTACCCTTATTATCCTTTCTCTTTTTCTGGCCCCAAGCATTCTTAGCTTTTCTCCATAACATAAAGCTATTGTGTGAACTCTTTATTCCCTTAACATTTTAAAAAAATGATTATATTTGTCATCTTGTAAACGGGATGTGTAGAATTACCTCTAGTTCATATTCAGAGAAGTGGGCACATAAGAACATAGAACCATTGACTTAATTTTATCAAATATACCATAAAGGATACATATGACAGCCTATCTTCCAGAAATATAAGACAAGAATCATAACATGAATCAAGAATCCTAACATAAATTAACTCACCAAAAGGTGATGAGGTGCACATAGAACTGCATGAAATGTATAGTGGTTACCTAGTTACATAGTTAGTCTGGCTGAAAAAAGACAAATGTCCATCAAGTTCAACCATATAAAAAAAAACAAAAACTGGAGATTGCAACATTTGGTGCAGCTCTGCATAGAAACCAGTCAGCTTCCATTTTTTTTTGTCAAAGCTTAACTGAACAATTTGAAGTTAGAAGCTGATTGGCTACCTTGCACGGATGCACCAAATTTTGCACTCTCTCCAGTTTTAGTAAATCAACCCTATACTGTTTAAACAAATAAACATATGTTTCCAAATATATATCACACTTTGGATCTGGGGGATAAGAATCTGTACAAAAGTGATTATCCTGTAGGCACACTTCAGGTTCTACAAATTGTTCAGGATCCTGTATATATTAAGCACAGTCTTGTACCTGAGTCAGCAGGTGTTATTAGCTTAGGACCAATCCTTAGTGATGTGAAATACTGTTGTTAACACCTCGGCAGGGAGGTTTGTGGTAGCTTGACAGTTAAGTCCCAGTTGTTCCGAACCTTTAACCCTTCTGATGGTGTCACGTACCTGAAGGGAGACTGAAATGACGAGGTCGGCCTCACTTGTGTCACTAGCCCTGACCCCACTGGAGTTGGAACAGAGGGAGTCTAGGACCCAGGGGAACAAGAGCGCCAGTAGTTGTTGTTTGCAGCTCTTGCAGATGATGACTCTGGAAGACTGATGATCTTCTGATTCAGGCACAGTAGTAACAAGCAGAGCAGGTCTTGTAGATTGCCAGGCATGCACCAGAGCAAGGCAGGTAGTGAGGTTAAAAGACAGGAGCAGTGTCATGGGAATAGCCAGGGTCATCAACAGTCGGGCAGCATGGTACAGAATCAGAAGGAAACCCAAGGTCAGGAGCAGAGCCGAAGTCAGGAACCAGTATCAATCAGGAGAGCAATCAGAGTCAGGTGAGAACAAGCTGGGTCAGCAACAAAGGAATCACACAGGAACAAGCAGGACACGGGGGAGCTGAAGACCAGTCAGTATCTAACATGGGCAGAGACACTCATTAAATAGGCCGTCTGGTGCCAATCTTCACCGTACGCGCATTTCTGCAAGCATGCGTATTTCTAATCGCGATTCGTCTTGCCGCAAATCCCTTACAGATGGGTAATGTTCAGCCAGTGATGGCTGTACATAGGTATTTTGCAACTTCGTTGGGAAGTCCCATTTCTTTGAAATTTATTTTCTTTTAAAATTTGAGCTATCTGGGAAAATTATTTCAATGTTTGTGTCCAGGGAATACCCTCAGTACAGCTGAGTGAAGAGGAGGATTCATCTGGGGTCTGAGGAGGTACACCAGAGAGCTGGAATGCTCCTAAAGGAGAGCCTATTTTTGTCCATATCTGTACATAGTTGCTAAGGAGTTTGTCCTCAGGTTTTCAGTTTCCTTGGGCATCCCATTTACCCCTCATCATCAGTTATTAACCCCTTAATAAAAGTCACAAAACCAAGTTCAAGGACTATTTACTGACTCTGAATGCAACGTGTGGAGAAAAATGCGTGTTGCTTAGATGTGAAGAGCGGTAGGGGGACCCAAAACCCAGTGACTCCTAAGGGGTAGTGCTAAAGTAAGAAAAAGGAAATGCACTGATGGTCCATAGGCCTTATGGTTATTCCTGGTCTGTTGTGCACTGTTTGATGTACGCCTCTTACTCACCAGCACTTTGGAGATATGGCACACTGTTGGGGAAACTGACAGCCTCTTGGTTACATCTCTGGTGCACAGGTGTTTCTGTCATTCTATTTTCAGTTCTGGTAAAGGTGTCTTCAATATCTGACCTGCTGGTGTCATCATGGAACTCTTCCCACTGGGGGACATGGATGAAGTCTATGAGGTGAGCTTCTGGATTGCATATTTCTTCTACTTCTTGCAGAACATTGTTACCAGAGGTACAGAGGACATTCCTAAAGGGTTTCTGTCACTTCTGAGAAGCTATATTTTTATTGGGTTGCTGGTAGGAGAACAATTGAAGTGTAGCCCCAGGATTATATGCCCATGTACTTCAGCAGCCAAGCCGCACACCCTAGTTATGGATTTTTTTAATGAAGGACTGATACCTATCTATAGAATGTAGTGGAATGCCACACAATAGTAAAATATATTTGAAAAAACTCCCAATCAGTTCTTTCAAATGATTGTTGGCACTACTTACCTTATGGCTGCATGCATTCCTGGGTATTTTTTAATCCTTGTGCAGCTTGTGCTGGCTCACTTCCTAAATTACGTTATTGCTTGCTGCCCCTGGTTAGCCTTCCTGCTATCCAGCCTACATCTTTGTCCATTGATTCCTGTGCACCCACCACTGGCTTTGTTTCCTGGCATTTCTTGTTTACTGCCTGCCCTAACCTCTAACTTGTATCCTGGATATCAATATCTGCAGCAAGCCCTGACCTATGAACTGCTACCTAATCACCTAGTTGGCTTCACTGACTTCTAGTTTGCTCCTGGTTATCTGTGTCTACTGCCTGCCCTGAACTCTAGCTTGTATCCTAGATATATGTGTCTGCAGGCCTGCAAGTCCTGACCTATGGACTACTACCTAATTACCAAGGTGACTCCACTGTTACCTGCAGTTTACCTAACTACACCAAACCTACTTCCTGTGCTTTCCTGACTCGTAGTTTGTGGTGAACCTGGGGAGTCTTGACCTGGGGTCAGCATGCAGTTAACACTTTGGTGATTCCTGATCCAAGTCCAAGGTCTTTTCCATTCCAGCATGACCATGATAGCGTTTCCTGATCATACATCTTACAGAGTGATTCAGTGTGGTTCCTATTCTGCAGATCCAGCTTCAGAAGACCAGCCATTGGCCTACACTTTCTTTCCTTGGCTATCCAGTGTAGCTGGAGGGTCCGCACTGGCACAGTCATCATCTTCACTATGATGTTTTTAGTGTCAATGGATAGAAGCATATTTTTTTTTATTATTTTGTGTGGTGTGTCAGATTTACTTAATTATCTTCATGGGCTTATCTGTTGTTTGTTTATTTTAATAAAATAAATTTATTAAAAAAGACCAGTAGGTAACAAGCTGTTTTGTTGTCTAAGACTTTACCATAAATCTTAATACTGCATTTTAGGAACATGATTTTATGGTTATAGGCACAATAATTGTGACTTCTGTCATCTTTTGGTATTTAAAAAGTAGATGCTAGCATTAAAAACTCTGAAGTATGGTCCTGTGTTACTTTAGAAAGAGGACTAGCTCCTTAACCACTTGCCCACCACCCTATAGCAAATGTATTGCTACACGGCAACACAGTTGCGCAAAATCACACACATATATATATATATATATATATATATATATATACACGTGATTTGTATTTCCGGGTAGGGAGCACACAAAATTCTGTATCTTTAATTTGATAGATATACTTGGAAGAATTACATTTATTGACTGTTCTCACTATTTTTCCCACATTTATTCACCTGAAGGTAATTTGTAACTTATCATAAAAATGAAATCAATATTTTTATCTAATAAAACTTTACTTCTTTTATGACAAGTTTCAAATTATTAAATGTGGCTTCAGAGATATTATATTTACTTTTTTGGTTCTAGAAATTAAATCTTAGAAATAACTCAGAAATGTTTTCATGTTTTCCTTTCTGGATCCTAGATCATTGAGAACCAGGGGTGGACTGACCATTTGGAAACTCGGGCACTGCCCAAGGGCCCGGGGTCAGTAGGGGCCCCATGAGATGCCCCTGGTACCTTTTTCATAGGCTTTTTTGAGTTTGGGCAAGGACACAGGGGCCCCATGATCCCCTATTGCCCGGGGGCCCCATGAGTTGTCAGTCCGCCCCTGTTGAGAACCCTTTTTAGGGACACTTTACAGTATGCATCACAAAGTAAAACCAACATAGAGACATTATTAATTATTTTCAAAGTCTTTGTCGATTGTTTTCTGAAGATAATCTCTATCTTCTACACTTTTCAGTAAAGTAGCATTTAGCTAATAATATGCCTATATTTAAATGCAAATTGATAGCAACATGATCTGATAAATAACTTGGATGAATTAAAATTTTGATTACATTTTAAGTAAAGCTTGGAGATGCATAAAAATAATCCAGTGTGAAATATATGTTGTGTGATTTAAAATAAAATAAGTATATTCCTGGATTGCTGGGTTAAATACTTGCAACACATCCAGTATTTGTAGAATAATTAGCCCAGATTGAACATTCATTATTGCTGTTATAGAAAAATGTCTTGAATCAAACATCCTACCCTTAAGTACACCTATGGGCATTAAATTATTTACAAATTCTTAACAGGTAGTAAAAGTACTTTAACACTCTGCCAAATGCGCCTGTGCATTGCTGGGTAAACACTAGCACCATATTCTGTATTGTAGTATAAATAATCCAGATGTAACCCTCTTTTTTACCGTAATAAAAATCTCCAGCTTGGAGCAATGTTAAGTATACATATTCTCCAAGGAGCAGGGCCCTCCTCTTGTATTGAACTGTATCGTTGCTGTCTTGTTTCCCTTTTATTGTAAAGTGCTGAGCAAATTGTTGGTGCTATATAAATCCTGTATAATAATAATATTCCATGCCTGTGGGATCCCTGTGAAGGCTGTAAACCACTGTAGTAGTTGCCGAAACTACAGTGATCGCTGCTGTTTTCACCATTCACAAAACATCTTGCATTTTTCAAAGTAAATGCAAGGCATTTTCTGACTGGACATGGTGGAGAGGTGGTGCCGTCACAATCTCCACTTCAATCCTAGAATGCTGGACTATGAAGGAAATATGATTTTTGTACTCACCATAAAATACTTTTTTTGGAGTTCATTGAGGAACACAGGAATTCTTAGAATTTTAAAATTGTCAGATTACACTGTCGCCTACAGGAGAAAGGGATACTGGCAATAAAAAGCTGTTGGCCACCACAGGATACCCTTGCCCACAAATATTACTCCTCAGTTTTGTAGCCAAGTATTATGAAGATCATTAAAAAGGGGGTTAGGAGGGACTTGTATTCCTCAATGGACTTCAAGAAAAGGATCTCATGGTGAGTACAAAAATCCTGTTTTCTTTTTTGTCCAATGGGGGACACATTAACCTCCCTGGCGGTATGATTATTTCAGATTTTTGGTGCTGAAAGTGGTACCATTATTTTGCATGGAAATTTGGCGTTTTATATTGTAGGCTGTAATTCTTAGGAATAACTCACTGAAATCTGTCCGGACAAGAGTCTAGTAAACATCCCGGGTAGGATAAAACATGAAACACGAACTCATAAATTATAATTTAATAAATAATCATTAAAAATAATAATATAATAATAAATTTAATTCAATAATATAATCAAACCAAAAACACTGAAATTTGAAAAATAGCGCCAAGTTCGCACATCACTGAGCAAAGTCGCAAAATTGTTTTCAGTGTCTGATGACGAATTTCCCCACAAATCATTATCACTCAATTCTGCAAGTGGTTTTGATTTACTATCGCTGTTCTCTAGCTGGTCTAAAACCGCTTTTGACCTAAAGGGACGCTTTTTGGACGCCATGGACGTCTCACAGTTTCCAGGCAATAAGAACAGTAAAAATGCAGGCAGGGCACAGGACAAAGCACTAGGGACAAAATGTATGTGAAATGGTTTGATACAGTAATGTTTTACTATGTGATTTTAGTGATTTTAGTGAATGTCACTTTTTGTCATTTTCAAATTTCCCACCGTTCCGTCCCCCGTACGTCCCGACGCTAGCAGGGGACGGAACCCAGAAGACAGATGCCAGCATACCTCTGGGTATAGGAAACACTTTAGAAAATGTTAGCAGCTGACTAGAGCGAACTGCAAAAAAGAACGATATTTTGAATCCAATGCAGAGTAGTCACTAAACGTAAATAATAGATGCTAATATCTTTATTTTGATCACTACGATCTTCTGAAAGGGTGGGCATATGACATGGTGAATACACAGTCAACCAAAGATGTAAAAGCAGTGAATTAAAAACAAAAAACAAAAGAACGTCCTCCATATACACTTAGCTGCATCATGGGGATTAAGTGTATGGCTGGGAAACCGATATTATGATAAGAAGAATTCTTCATATAAAGGAGATGGTACTAATGTATGGAGAGTCCACTTTCATTGTATTCTGAGTGATTCTATCTTCACAGTTTTGGTTCTTTGCTGTTTTCCAGAAATTACATAACTTTAAGCAGATACTTCTTTCCACTTCATATGTGTGGTCATCAGTACTAGATATAGAAGTAGCAAGTGGAAAAAATCCTAGGAAGTCTATTTATATGAAGAATACTTATCAAAATATCGGTTTCCCAGCCATACACTTAATCTGCATGATGCAGATAAGTGTACAGTTGCAAGAAAAAGTATGTGAACCCCTTGGGATTACGTGGAGTTTTGCATGAATTGGGCATAAAATGTGCTCTGAACGTCATCTAAGTCACAACAATAGAAGAACACAGTCTGCTGAACATAATACTACACAAACATTAGATGTTGCCATGGTTTAATTGCACATAACATGTAAACATTCACAGTGCAGGGAGGAAAAAGTATGTGAACCTTTGGACTTAATAACTGGTTGACCCTCCTTTGGCAGCAATAACCTCAACCAAATGTTTCCTGTAGTTGCAGATCAGACCTGCACAACGATCTGAAGTAATTTTGGACCACTCCTCTTCACAAAACTGTTTCAGTGTAGCAATATTCTTGGGATGTCTGGTGTGAATCGCTCTCTTAAGGTCATGCCACAGCATTTCAATCGGGTTGAGGTCAGGACTCTGACTGGGCCACTCCAGAAGGCGTATTCTGTGCTGTTGCAGCCATTGTTTTGTTGAATGACTTGTCTGCTTTGGGTCATTGTCCTGTTGCATCACCCATCCTCTGCGGAGCTTCAGTTGGCGGACAGATGGTCGTACGTTTTCCTGCAAAATGTCTTGATAAACTCTGGAATTCATTTTCCCATCAATGACAACAATCCGTCCAGGCCCTGAGGCAGCAAAGCAGCCCCAAACCATGATGCTCCCTCCGCCATGTTTCACAGTGGGGATGAGGTTTTGATGTTGGTGTGCTGTGCCTTTTTTTCTCCACACATAGTGTTGTGTGTTCTTCCCAAACAACTCAATCTTGGTTTCATCCGTCCACAGTATATTTTGCCAGTAGTGCTGTGGAACATCCAGGTGCTCTTTTGCAAACTTCAAACATGCTGCAATATTCTTTTTGGACAGCAATGGCTTCCTCCGTGGTGTCCTCCCATGTACTCCATTCTTGTTTAATGTTTTCCTTATTGTAGATGTGTCAACAAAAATGTTAGCATGTGCCAGAGATTTCTGTAGGTCTTTAGCTGACACTCTGGGATTCTTCTTTACCTCATGCAGCATTCTGCGCTGTGCTCTTGCAGTCATTTTTACAGGACGACCGCGCCTAGGGAGAGTAGCAACAGTGCTAAACTTTCTCCATTTGTAGACAGTCTGTCTTACCGTGGACACATGAACATCAAGGCTTTTGGAGATATTTTTGTAACCCTTTCCAGCTTCATGCAAGTCGACAATTCTTGATGGTAGGTCTTCTGAGAGCTCTTTTTTTTGTTTACAAACGATTTTATTGTACAAGAGTAGACAGTAGAACAACAGCACATTTTAAAAGTGATATTGTCAGCAAAAACAAGGCACTTTTGAAAAGTACAATACATAAAGGTATATTAACATAACAAAGAAGATAAGAAAAAAAAAGAGGAAGTTACAAGTGCATGAAGTACATAAACGACAAAATAGGTTAGGTGATACACCTGTCAATAGTACATGCCAGCCAACTTTTACTGGGGATGTTATTAAGCATGTAATAAGTGTCTGCAATCTCTCCATGACTCCCATTTTTTATCGTATAAGTGCAGCTTATCCAGTAGGGTATAATGAATGCGTTCCATAAGCATTATAGTGTCAATTCTGTGTAAAACGGAGTCTAAGGGTACAACATTGGACCTCCAATGTAGGGCAATAGACCATAAAGTGGCAATACATAATGTGTGTATCAATCTCAGATTGGCATCAGAGACCCCTGGGATATGGGCCCCCAACAAACAGGTCTGCATGGACAATCGTATCGGGGCGCCCGACAATAAGGTAGCGACCTCAGAAATCCTACGCCAGATCAAAGATATGGTCGGGCAATCCCAAAATATATGAACCAAAGTACCCGTGCAGTCACAGCCCCGAAAACATAGAGGGGACGTTTGTGGAAACAGTACATGTAGTCTTGACGGGGTATAATACCATCTGGTTAGAACTTTAAGGGCCGTCTCACGAACCGAAAGAGATCTAGAGCTCTTGCATATATTATCCACCATGGAATCCCAATCCTCATCCGAAAAAAGTGACGCCACAATCCTCCTCCCATTTTCGTCTGTACAAAGGGGGAGCATGAGCATGAAAAAGACAGATCAAAAATTGGTGATAAAGATTTGAGATAAGACCCCTACCCCTGGGAGAGTCACGGGCTGACACGTTCAAAAAAGGAAATCGGAGAGGATGGGGCAAGGGGCCAAAGTGCGCTTTAAAAAAGTGCCTAATCTGTCTGTAACGAAGGTACTCGCGAAGAGGAACATCAAACAACACGCGCAGCATATCAAAGGTAATATAAGATCCTCCTCTTTGGAAATCAGACAATCTGATAAAAGATCGTATCATACCACCAACGAAACATATGAGGGGAAGAAAAGGCTACAACAAAAGTAGGATCCCCAAAAAATGACACACCTGGGGGAATAGAAGAGACTAAACCCAAATTTAGATTTGTGTTTGGACC